TCTCTCTCCCGACAACCATCGTCTCTATCAGCAGCAGCTGGGATGTCTCCTGTTCACCGCCGTCACGTGCCGGCCCGATCTCTCCTACGTCGCAAGCCAGCTCGCCCAGTACCTGAAGGGGAGAATCTACTAGATCTACGCCGAGCACTACAGTACTTCATCTCCACTCCCGACGTCGGTCTCACCTACGAAGCTAATCTCACTGCTACTCTACAACTCCATGGCTACGTAGATGTCGACCATGCTGGAGATGTCGACAACTGACGCTCCCGCACAGGATTCATTTTCCAACTCCAACCAGCGGGACTCATCTCCTGGAACTCCCAGAAACAGGAACTCATCGCTCTTTTATCAGCAGAAGCAGAATTCATCGCAGCCAGCGCAGCTGTTCGCGAAGGAATGTACCTGATGGAGCTCCTACAGGAGGCAAAAGTGACGATGAACGGGCACTTCACGTTACTTTGCGACAATCAGAGCGCGATAAAAATCGCGAACAAGCCCGGCTTCGTCAACCGCACCAAGCACATCGCCCTTCGCTACTTCTTCGTGAAGGATGAAATCGACAAGGGGAAAGTCAAGCTGACGTACTGCCCGACCGGTGACATGGCAGCCGATTTCCTGACGAAGAAACTGCCACATCAACAGTACCAACGCTGCACCGACCTCTGCGGAATCGCCAAGAAATCCCACGTGGCCCACCTTCAGGAATGAAGGGGAGTGTTGAAACAACCGAAAGGTTATATAAAGCATTCTCGAAGCTGATCCATTGTACTAGTACCGCAATAGCTCATATAGAGCATGCAGAATGTCGAGGGTCACCCGAAGGTCAACCGTCTAAGGAAGTCAACGGTCGTGACCTTCGACGATCCAGTAACCGCGCGACGGTTAATTCACTGCAACATGGTAACTGTCGAGGATAGCAATAGTCGCGGTTACTGTAGCTATGCAATACAGTTAATAAGGGAATGTACCCCTCAGAGTACATGGCTAGCAAGATTTCTATTTAATCCCTTGTACTCCTATCTTTTAATCATCTTGTTCTCTTTCTATTATTATACAACAAGGTCACTACAGAGACTTCCTTGTCTCCTCTCAGACTTAACAGATCCTATCCTATCTACTGGATCCTCTGGTTGTATCAGCAGCCGCAAAACCGAGTACGAGGATATTGTGGGCCACTTGGGCCACTTCACCTCTTGACCACTTGCAGTGGAAGATTTGCCAGCGTGGCAACAGCGAGATTGTGGGAGGGGGGATATCTTGGCTGATTCTAAGTGAAAATACATGCAAAATTTCTTCTAGGGAGCGTTTCTCGCGATATCCTCCCGTAAGGAATCGGACTTGATAACAGCTATAATAGGAATCTATAAGAAAAAGGGGGTTGTTATAGAGAATCACCCCAAAGGGGGGGTTATAGTACTAACGGGGTCGGATATAACACCCACCCCGTATAAGCTACCCGGGGGTGTACAATTACAGGGGGGGTGTTTTATCCGGGAGAATACGGTACGCGCTCTTGTCAATAATGAGTTGGTGCAAACACCTCTGGAACACACTCGATCTGCCCGTTATGGTTTTGGTACGCGTGCGAAATACGATGTAGCTTTCAAATAAGAGCGCAAAATATGATACCGGCACCGTCATCGCTCGGATAGTAGACAGTGTTGAATAGTAGACAGGGGTTGTCTATTTTCCAGGTGTCTCTCATAAACAGGCTAGCCTCATTATAAGTGTCAAGATAAGGACAAACTTAGATACTAGGGTTTTGTCAGAATTGAAACGAGAATGAATGAACTAACAGTGAAATGGGTACAAGTACTAACCCTAATTGGGTTGTACCCCTTATGGGCTACCCCACTATAGCCTACACAATATGCATGAGCTATAATATTCTGACACACCCCCATAGGCAAAGTGGGGGAGAACAAGGGGTCACAAGACCAGTCAAGCAAAGCAAAGCAAAGCAAGCTCAGGGTGGATCACAAAGTCACCACACATTCCGAGCACAAGTTCAAGGCCACAAGGCCAGTTCACATGCAGGAGTACATATATATTAAAAAAAGGCTAGACAAGCAAGAGCATATATGTAACAGTACAAGCAAGGTCAAGAGGTGAGCAAGTGAGGCAAGGTAGGCACAAGGCCCAGCTGAGTACAGAAGCGCTGATGGTCACAAGGCGCAAGCGCCTTGGTGAAGATATCAGCAGTGTTGGCCTCAGAGGCCACGTACGCAAGACGCAGCTGACCACGCTGCTGCAGCTCACGAGCAAGAAAGTAGCGGAGAGCAATGTGCTTCGTTCTGTGCTCCAGTCGCTGCTCCCGACACAAGGCCAGCATGGCCTTGTTGTCTACGTACAGCACTGGAGGAGAACGAGGCGGCTCTCCGAGGTCAGTAAGCAGGTAGGTGAGCCAGCAAAGCTCCTGTGCAGCCACGGCTCCTGCGTAGATCTCAGCCTCACAACTGAAGCCAAGAACAGAAGACGAGCGAGTAGCCCCCCACGAAACAGAGCCGGAACCAAGGCTGAAGGTGTAACCCTGTGACGACCGCTGCGTAGCTGGTCATCGGCCCAAGAAGCGTCTGCGTGCCCAGTAAGGACCACTGGACTCTGCCCTCCAAGCACAAGCCCCATGCCCGACGTACTGCACAAGTAGCGCAACACCCTCTTTGCTGCAGCCATGTGCTCTGGTCTATGTCTCCCAGGAGCAACATAGCGTGCGAGAATGCTAAGAGGGTATGCAAGGTCAGGTCGTGTGCAGGTCATCAGGTACATGAGGCAGCCAACAAGCTCTGGGTACGGGCCACTTGACTCTACGGACTCATCCGAAGGCAGAGCTGAGAGCGAGTGGCGAGTAGGCAGAGGAGTGGCCTGAGGCGAGGAGTACGTGAAGCCGAAGCGCTGAAGGACCTGCTGCACCATGTGTGACTGAGTCAGGGTAATGGTGCGGCGTGTTCTATCCCGAGTGATCTGCAAGCCAAGGTAGCTGCGCAGTTCACCCAGGTCAGTGCACGTGTGTCTCTTCTGCAGCTCGAACTTCACGTGGGCAAGTCCAGCAGTGTCAGCTGTGGCAAAGACCAAGTCGTCGACGTACACGAGGATGTAGAACGGCGGCAAAGAAGTGTCGGTGCGCAGAAACAGCGACGGGTCGGCAGTAGAGGGAGCAAACCCAAGAGCCGCAAGTGTAGTCCTCACTGTGTCGTGCCACTCACACGGTGCCTGGCGGAGACCATAGACTGGCCGCCGGAGGCTCTGGGTGCTAGGAGGAAAGGACCCAGTGAAACCAGGTGGGCGGCGCAGCCAGATCTCCTCGTGCAGGCTGCCCTGCAGGAAAGCGGTGCTGAAGTCAAGAGAATGTAGCTCGTAGTCACGGTGAGCAGCTACGTGCAGCAGTACCCGAAGAGTGGTCATCTTCGGGGTGGGAGAGAAGGTCTGAAAGTAGTCAACTCCCTGCCGCTGACTGAAGCCACGAGCCACGTAACTCGCCTTGAAGACAAGTGGAGAACCCGGCGGTCGCTTCACCCTAAAAATCCACATGCCACTGACGATGTTCGCCCCAGAAGGGGGAACAGCGTCAACGTAGGTGCCTGTGGACTTCCAGGAAGCCATCTCTGCACCCATAGCTGCCTGCCACTGAGAGGAGTAGGGACCCTCTATCGCCTCCGCGTAAGAGCGCGGGGTCGGGATGTCAAGTGCATACGGGTCTCCCTCAGGGGTAAGCAGTACGGACACGAGATGAGGTGAAGCAGCGGCCAAGCACTGGAACTCCTCCTGCCTGTCCTCGAGGACGTTCGTGCCAAGGGCACACTCACCCCCGACGGACGGAGGATAGACAGACTCAGACTCAGCAACAAGACTGGCGGCGTAGTCTAGGCGACAGCGAGCAGCAAAGTCGACGAGCTCAGCAACTAGGGCAAACGCAGCAGTGGACTCAAAGGAAGGGTCAGTGACAACAGTAGCAAGGAGATGCGTGACAGTAGGACTGGCAGCACAAAGAGAGTCCGACTCCGGGTCGGCAAGAGCAGGAAGAGAAGACTCAGGAGGAGAAGGCAAAGGGGCACGCAGAGGAGCAGTGGACGGACGCAGAGACATCCGGTGCGTGCCAGGGATAGGAGGAGGACGCTGACGCGAACCGCGACCACTAGTGCGAGCAGCACGGACAGGCGACGCAGGGCAAGACGCAGGCTCACGACGCTCAGCAAGACCTCCAGTAGGACCAGTGTAGGGAGAAGGAGCAGGCAGTGGGGAGGCCGGCTGTAACTATAACTGCGACGGGAAAGGCTGTGGACACTCTAAGAGAGGAGGAGGACCAGTAGAAGACGGGAGACCAAGAACCTGCTGAAGGAGTGGAACGAAGTACAGCCGAGGCCGCGCGGCGACTTCAGACACAGCAGGGACACCACCAGCACCCCCAGTGGCAGCACCAGCACCTGTAGCAGCTCCAGCTCCAGTACCCCCAGCAGCACCAGTAGGACCCCCCAAAGGACCGCCTCCAGGACCGACAGCAGTAGCCTCCGCGCCAACACCCGCAGCAGCTCCAGCTCCAGAAGTACCCGCAGGTCCAGCAGCTCCAGTACTCCCAGTACGAGCACCTCCAGGACCCGTGGCACCAGCTCCCTCAGCAGCAACAGAACCTCCAGTACCCGCAGCACCTCCAGCTCCAGCAGCTCGCCTCCAGCGCTGGGCAAACCACTCACGCAGCTCCAGTGGAGAGAGTGGCTCCCGGCGAGAAGAAGCACCCGGAGAACTGCCAGGCGCAACAACAGAAGGCCCAGCTCCCTCACGCTCCGCACCCCCAGGCTCAGCACCTCCAGGCGTAGCACCCCCAGGCTCAGCACCCCCAGGCTCAGCACCCCTAGGCGTAGCACCCCCAGGCTCAGCACCCCCAGACTCAGCACACTCAGGCTCAGCACCCCCAGTCGTAGTACCCTCAGGCTCAGCACCCCCAGGCTCAGCACCCTCAGCAGCACCAGAGTCACCAGCGACCTCGACAGGCTCAGCAGCGTCTACCTGGGACACACCTGAAGGGGCAGGACCCTGAGGGGGGAGGGGGTCTACCGGGGGGGGACCTGGCACAAGGAAGAGCGGTGGCGGGGGGAGGGACGGAGTGCGGTAGGGGAAGAGACGGTAGTAGGGGACCGACTCGTCGAACGTGACGTCCTGGGAGGACAGAACACGGCGAGAGGTGGGGTGGTAGAACTGCCACCCTGGCGCGTCAGGGGGGAAACCCAGGAAGACGCAAGGAGCAGCACGAGGGGACAGCTTGTCCGCAGACAAGTCGCGGACAAACGCCCGAGATCCCCAGACACGGAACGCAGACGCATCGCAAACCTTCCCCGTCCACAGCAAAGCTGGGGAGGTCTCCGGCATGGAGACCCTGGGCTGAAGGTTGATCTGATGCGCGGCGTACCGAAGCGCAAACGGCCACAGAAAATGGGGGGCAGCCGCATGCATCATGGACGTGCGGGCGACGTCCATGACCATGCCAATGCGGCGCTCTGCAATCCCATTTTGCTGTGGAGAGTCCGGAAGCGTGAAGGTCTGGCGGATGCCTCGTGCACGACAGTAGGCTCGCAGAAGGCCAGAGGAGAACTCTCCGCCTCTATCAGAGTGCAGACGCAGAACAAGAAAGTCTGAGCCGAAGCTCCGCCTGAGCTAGAGACGAGCTGCGCAGATCCAGTCGATCAACACCTCAGTGACATCACCTTTGCTGCGCAAGGGGAAGACTATGGTGTAACGCGAGTAGTCGTCAACAACCAGCAGGAATTAGTGCTCGTGACCTTGTCCACGGACGCGGGCTGGGCCCCACACGTCCATGTGAAGCGTCTGCAGCGGGGCCTCTGTCGGAGGAAACAAGGAGGAGTGAGGGGTAGCCCGCTGCCGCCCGTCGACACAGGGGACGCAGGTAGGGCAAGGCCCCAGAGGAAGGGGAGGGAGGGACCGGGGAAGACCAGAGACAAGGACACGGGAGGCCATGCTTCGGAGACGAAGCAGGGAGGGGTGACCAAGGCGGTGGTGCCAGAGGAGAGTCTCGTGAGACAGGAGGCGACACGAGCAGGGGGCAGACTCAGGACCAAACCTCGATGCTGCAGCTAATACATGACCCGACGCAGCTACCTGACTAGACGCAGGGACTGGAGGAGACGCAGTGGTCAGTGTGTACAGGCTCGACCCCGGCCGACGTGTAAACGTGGCCAGGTGTCGGCCTGTCCGAGCGTCCGTGCAGTGGGTCACCCGCTGACTCGCAGGAGTGAACTGGTGAACCCCTGCATCCTGTAGGTCAGCACCACTCACCAAGTTTAGCAGTACCTAGAGGAAGCAGACGCACTAGCACCTAGAGCAGCAGCCTCGCTAGCACCAAGAGCAGCAGCCTCACCAGCACCTAGAGCAGCAGTCTCAATGCCCTGGTCGGGCGGGAAACACCGGTAACAGTCACCCTCCTCACTAATAGACACAGTAAACATAGCAGCAAGAATAGCATCAAAGTCAAGGTCAAAGATAGCTACCCCTGCCCTAGACAGCTCGCCCAAGCGAGGGATCTCAGTGGCCTTAGGGAACTGGTGACGCCAAGCGTCCGTCAGGCGGCCAAAGCAGCGCTGGGTGGGGTGCGCACCCCCACATTGCTCACCCGCACGGTCGCCGGTGCGCAGGACGTAGGTGCACGGATTAGTACCCCCACCCCGCTGGCGTGCAGAGTACCACTCACGGAGCTGCTGAGGGGACAGGGTCTCCCGACTGCGCTGCTGCTTCTGGCGCTGACCACCACCGGAGCCACTCCTCTGCGAAGAGCCACGACCTCCTCCTCCTCCTCCTCCTCCTCCTCCTCCTCCTCCTCCTCCTCCTCCTCCTCCTCCTCCTCCTCCTCCTCCTCCTCCTCCTCCTCCTCCTCCTCCGCCACCGCCTCCTCCACCTCCGCCACCTCCACCACCTCCGCTCCCAACGCCACCGCCGCCGCCGCCTCCGCCTCTACTGCCGCCGCCGACACCTCCACCCTCGCCACCACTCCCACCACCACCCCCACCCCCTCCACTGCCTCCACCGCCGCCTCCACCGCCCCCGCTAGCTCCTCCAGCGCCCCTGCCCCCCTTGCCCTTTCCAGAGCGACGCTTCCCACTAGGGGTAGACGCCGCACCGACCGACTCCAGACCAACGAGGTCGGCCGCAGCAGCAGAGGCAACAGAGGGCAAAAGAGGGGAGGGGGAACACCCCTCAAAGATGGGGGTGCGAGGGTCACCACGAGAGGCTCCTACAGCCACTATGCTCTTTTCTGCTGCTAGGAGGGCCTTCTCGAGGAGGTCAACGGTGAGAGTGGTGGGGCAAACTGAGAGGAAGTGGTCCCTGACTACGCGAAGGGAGTCAGGGAGACGGGTGACTATGTAGTAGAGGGTGATGGACATGGGGGGGGGGGGTTCTTGGCGCAGAACTTAGCAGGAAGCGCAGTGCAGTAGCGAGTGTCACTAGTACGGAGGTGCGTAATGAGGTTAGCGACTGTGGGAAAGGCAGCAAGGTCAGGGAAGAGGTACGGTAGCATGAGGCGGCTCAATGTAGCAGTGGCAGGGGAGGAGTAGCGTGCAACTACAGCGTCGTACAAGGTCTGAGCACTCTTGTACTGGCTAAAGGGCGCACGCTCAGAGGTAGGCAGGTGGCGACGCACAGCAAGACGTGCAGCAGCATCGCGCGTGGCCCACTGTGAGCGAACAGTGGCGTCAGCATCAGTAGTGGGGGCAGGAGAGGCACCAGAAGTGAGGTCAAAGAGGGAGAGGCCGTCTGCCCTATCGCACTGTAAGAAAAGCTGCAGGTCATCTATCCAGACGTCAGAGTCAATGGCCCGACCCTCAGCGTCAAAAGCGAGGACACTAGGGGTAGCCATGACAGCAGTAGACTAGCAGCGCAAACAGTAGGGTGAGGGTAGTGCTGTGAAAGAGGCGCTGCTCTTACCGGACAGGGCGGCTCGGGCGGCTTGGCTGCAGGGCGACTCGGCGGCTCGGCAGCTGGGCGGCTCGGCGGCTCGGCTGCTGGGCGGCTCGGCGGCTCGGCTGCTGGGCGGCTCGGCGGCTCGGCTGCTGGGCGGCTCGGCTGCTGGGTGGCTCGGCGGCTCGGCTGCTCGGCTGCTGGGCGGCTCGGCTGCTGGGCGGCTTGGCGGCTTGGCGGCTCGGCGGCTCGGCTGCTGGGCGGCTCGGCTGCTGGGCGGCTCGGCTGCTGGGCGGCTCGACTGCTGGGCGGCTCGGCTGCTGGGCGGCTCGGCGGGGCCGCTGAGAGGAGGCGGCGGGGCCGCAAAGGTAGGTGGCGGGGCCGCAGGTATGTGGCGGGGCCGCTAGTAGGTGGCGGGGCCGCAGGTAGGTGGCGGGGCCGCAGGTAGGTGGGAGGGCCGCAGGTAGGCGCCGGGGCCGCACAGGTAGGTGGCGGGGCCGCGGGTAGGTGGCGGGGCCGCAGGTAGGTGGCGGGGCCGCTGGTAGGTGGCGGGGCCGCAGGTAGGTGGCGGGGCCAGCAGGTAGGTGGCGGGGCCAGCAGGTAGGTGGCGGGGCCGCACAGGTAGGTGGCGGGGCCGCGGGTAGGTGGCGGGGCCGCTGGTAGGTGGCGGGGCCGCAGGTAGGTGACGGGGCCGCACAGGTAGGTGGCGGGGCCGCGGGTAGGTGGCGGGGCCGCGGGTAGGTGGCGGGGCCGCAGGTAGGTGGCGGGGCCGCACAGGTAGGTGGCGGGGCCGCGGGTAGGTGGCGGGGCCGCTGGTAGGTGGCGGGGCCGCAGGTAGGTGACGGGGCCGCACAGGTAGGTGGCGGGGCCGCGGGTAGGTGGCGGTGACAAAGTTTGAAGAAAGAAAGAGGAATGAAATAGCAGAAATGGGGATACAAATAGCAAACCCTAGAAGGGTTGTACTCGCTATAGAGCACCCCACTACAGGCTAGAGCATAAGATAACATTCTGACACACCCCCATAGCCAAAGTGGGGTGTAATCAGCAGAGCAAGCAAAGCAGTACAAGCTCAGGGTGGATCACAATGTCACCACACATTCTGAGCACAAGTTCAAGAAGCAATAGTTTAGAGTTCACAATTATGAGCAAAGCTAGTGGTAGTCACAACGGGCAAGTGAGGAGGAGGAGAGAGAGTGAGGGGAGAGGAGATAGGAGGCGACGGCTGAAGCTGCAGACACACGGGCAACAGGAGGCAGACTGGCACAGCGGCTACCGGACAGCGCCCGGACTACAGGAGTAACAGGCCCCGCGGCTCAAGTAGCGGCAGACGGGCAACGGACCCACGGGCGGCTGGCGTAGAAGTCTAGCTCACTGGGCTACCGGGACAGCGCCCCGGACTACAGGTGCTGCTGACGACAAACTGGCAACCTCCGCTCATCCTCCCGCACACAGTCCCACCCCCCTGATACACACCCGCTGCTACACCGCTAGCTCCACTCCCACGCACCCCCCTTAAACCCTAAACCCCAGTCTCCCACACAACCACCCCCCTCAGCGACAGCTGCAGCAGTGGGAGACGAAGGAGGAGGAGGAGCAAAGGGAGGAAAGCACACCGGCCACCCCCATACCCGCCACCCCAAGCGGCCCCCTCAGGTCGCCACGACAGACGACGGGAAATGGGGGGGGGGAGGAGGGGGGGGGGGGGGGGGGGGGGGGGGGGCGCGAAGTGGGGCGGCGGGGCCACGAAGTGGGGTGGCGGGGCCGCGACGGGTCGGTGGCGGGGCCGCGACCGGAGTTGGCGGGGCCGCGACCGGAATTGGCGGGGCCGCGACAGGAGTTGGCGGGGCCGCGACCGGAGTTGGCGGGGCCGCGACCGAAGGCGGCTGGGCCGCGACGCGAGGCGGCAGGGCCGCGACCGGAGGTGGCGGGGCCGCGACGGGTCTGTGGCGGGGCCGCGACCGAAGGTGGCGGGGCCGCGACCGGAGTAGGGCGGCGGGGCCGCGACGGGTCCCCGTCGCCCGTCGCGACGCCTCCAGAGCGGGACGCGGCGAACGCCGCGAGGCAGACGCCCGCCGCGCGCCTCGGGGCGCACAGCGGGCAGAGAACCGCCGCGCGCCTCGGGGCGCACGGCGGGCAGAAAACCGCCGCGCGCCTCGGGGCGCACGGCGGGAGGAAAAAGTAGCAGCGGAAGCGAGGTGGTAACCCACCCACAGGATCGATCCAAGGGGATCGACCTGCTCTGATAGCATGACAAAGTTTGAAGAAAGAAAGAGGAATGAACTAGCAGAAATGGGGATACAAATAGCAAACCCTAGAAGGGTTGTACTCGCTATAGAGCACCCCACTACAGGCTAGAGCATAAGATAACATTCTGACAGGCGGGGCCGCTGGTAGGTGGCGGGGCCGCAGGTAGGTGGCGGGGCCGCACAGGTAGGTGGCGGGGCCGCGGGTAGGTGGCGGGGCCGCTGGTAGGTGGCCGGGCCGGCAGGTAGGCGCCGGGGCCGCACAGGTAGGCGTCGGGGCCGCAGGTAGGCGCCGGGGCCGGTAAGGGCGGCGTCAGGGCCGCAGGGCGGCGCGAGGGCCGCTGGGTAGGCGACGAGGCCGCAGGGCGGCGGATCGGGGCCGGGAAAGGGCGGCGCGATGGCCGCTGGGTAGGCGACGAGGCCGCCGGGCGGCGGGTCGGGGCCAGGAAGGGCGGCGCGAGGGCCGCAAGGCAGGCGACAGGGCCGCTAGGGCGGCGCGACGGGGCGAGAAAAAAAAGGGGGAGCGCGACTCGGGCTGGGGCTGAGCGCGCTCCGGGCAGGAAAAAAAAATGTCGAATTGGTGGGCCCTAGGAACAGTTCCCACGAGGGAACCTGCTCGATACCATGTGAGAATTGAAACGAGAATGAATGAACTATGAATGAATTGGGTACAAGTACTAACCCTAATTGGGTTGTATCCCTTATGGGCTACCCCACTATAGCCTACACAATATGCATGAGCTATAATGTTCTGACAGGTTTAGCTAGGGCCTAGGCTTAGGAGCATAGGCCACAAGAATAATGAGAGAGTTGTCACCAGGATCGGGAGAATGGAGGGGGTTGACTATAGCACACAAGGTACATATAGCAAACTAACAAAGAAGGTGCACCACCAACAGTTCATAATATGATATTTTTTAAACACACGAAGTGTTTTTTAAAATTACGTATTTCGGAAGCGCAGCTGCCTGTAACGCAGATTTGGCATCGTCGAAGCGCGCTAAACGCCCTTCTCCAACTACAAATCGTGGGTTGGAGATCATTTCCCTCCACCCACGTCTCTAATTTTCCAACGTCTCATGCAACTCTCAGTTCCTCGAGCTCATTTCCAGTTTTCCGTTCAAGCTGGCTAGAACTTGCTCTCTACCGAGAGACGATTCGCCTTCAACTTTATCAGCTGACATTCTCAACCACAACCGCTCGACTATGGCTGCTACGCCGACACTCAACCGCGCGAACAACACCGTCGTCAACGACTCGAATATTTCCGACACCGATCGTAACGCCCGGGAAATGTCGGGCGAGCGCCGCAACAAGCGTCGGGCAGACGGCGAAGCGTCCGCCCCAACAGCTGTCGACATGCTGCTGGGCGGGCTCGAGGTCAACAAAAACGCCGAGCGGCACCAGCAGCACCCTTCGGTGCCTGTGGCGCCTGTTGCGCCAATGGCACCTGTGGCACCAGTGGCGAACGTGGCGCCACACGCCTCTGACGTGGAGCACGCGCCTGAGGCACACGCGCCCCTCAGGCAGTCGCGTCACCGCCAGAGGCGCCGTACGGCCGCCTCGTCTGACGTGACCGTTGACCCGGACTTGACACAGGCGTTGACCCCGGACCAAGTCAAGGCGAACCTGTCCCTGTTACAGCATCGACCCGCCAGCGCCATTGAAGCCGAAACTACACAACCGGCGGCATCAATTTTGGCTAAAAACGAAAATTCGAAAAAGGAGAAGGGAGCGAAAGGAGCATCAACACGCCGCCACAACAAGGAGGTAGCTACCAGCTTTCCCGAAGCCGCAACTTATGACCACGACTCCGACGACTCTGACGACGACGCTGGTGAGGCTCCGATCAACGCAGCAAATGTCACATCCATGGAAAATCTCCCCCCCCCTTCCTTCCACCACCCCCACCTTTTCGGCGGCAAACTTCATGAAGGCGTTCGTGCGCGCGAAGGCGGAGCCCCTGGAGGACATGAGGGCCTACCTGAAACACACGGAGTACAAGCTGCAGCACGACGACACGGCGGGCGGACTCGAAATGGTCATGAACGCCCTCGACTACATTTCGGAGCGTTTTGTGATATTTCAAGTCGAGGACCACACCGATGACCGCGTGGCAAAGCGATTCAAGCTCTACCAACAGAAGAGTCTCCTGACTTCCCTCCCGTTCAAGCAAGCGGTAGCTGATGTGGCGGCTATGGATCGCGCGGAGGGCGCGTACGCTCGTTCCCACCGCGTTGGAGGGCATGGGCCAACGTCATACACCCCAAAGCGTGGACCGCCGCCCACAGGTGGCTTCCATGGCTTCCGTAGGGCGTGCTTCTGTTGTGGCCAGCCGGGTCACGTGGCAAGCGGCTGCTCGAGGAACGGGAACGGTGGCCAAGGTCCCGCACCCGTGGTGTAGGGGCGGGCCTTGAGCGATTGCGCCTTGTGCGCGTGGCATGGTGCACGTAATGTGCAAAAACCGTGGGCAACCCAAAGGGGTTAGCGATGGCGGTTGACCAGCCCTAGTTAGGGGTGATTAATAGGCTAGAGGCCTAGGATGCGGGGGAGGGAATAAAAAACCTCTTGGCCCTTAGTATTAGCCCATGCGGTAGGGGCGAAGGCATGCTAGGAGCATGGGAATGTATGGCCTGTTTCATATAAGGGCGGACTTATTAAAGGAGCAATTTCTGATTTTGGCTCATGATGAAAAAGAAAGAAAGAAAGAAAGAAAGAAAGAAAGAAAGAAAGAAAGAAAGAAAGAAAGAAAGAAAGAAAGAAAAACGGGGAGAGCGAGAGAGCGAGAAGAAGAAGAAGAAGAAGAAGAAGAAGAAGAAGAAGAAGAAGAAGAAGAAGAAGAAGAAGAAGAAGAAGAAGAAGAAGAAGAAGAAGAAGAAGAAGAAGAAGAAGAAGAAGAAGAAGAAGAAGAAGAAGAGAGAAGGGCTCGACGTGCGTGTGTGAGAAAGAAAGAGAGGCAGAGAGAGAGAGAGAGAGAGAGAGAGAGAGAGAGAGAGAGAGAGAGAGAGAGAGAGAGAGAGAGAGAGAGAGAGAGAGAGAGAGAGAACGAGGGCAACCTAAAGATAAACAAGGAGAAGGAGAGGGAGGGAGCTCAAAAGGAGGACACGCAAAACCCTGTTGTGGCCACGTGACCATGCGGAAAGACTCACACCCGCACCTTGGTTGGTGGATTGAAAAACAAAAAAAACCCTACAATGCGGATGCTAGGGGTGACAAATGGTATTCGGAAGGGTCAACAAGCACGCATTCATTGCATGCACTGACATTTCACGCACGAAGGCTGGAAATCATATCCATAAGAACCTCATTTCGCATTCCCGCTCCATTGTCACTGCTCAAACATGCAGCGGCAATACGCCATGAGGTGTTCAACGACGACGATCCGTACGAATTCGCCGTCACAGACAAGACCGTCACGCAAATGCGCGGGCGGCTTCGCGCAACCCTCGCATGGTGGGGCTCGTGGTGCCCAAATAGCCTCATCCTCTCGGTCATCGCCAACGGCTACTGGCTACCATGGAGCCACAACCCTCCACAACCGTTTCACGAGCGCAACCATCTCGGCGCGCACACACACACACGGCGTTCACACGCACTGCCATTCGCGAACTGACAGAGACCGGAGCGGCGGTAGCTACCCCAGCAGCGGAACTCACATGCATCAGCCCACTCAACGTGGTTGAGCAACGTGACAAATGCAGGCTTATTCTCGACCTTCGGAAAATGAACGCGCAACTAATCATCCCCAAATTCAAATACGAAAGGCTAAGCCGCGTTGCCGACCTGGCACACGTAGGAGACTGGATGTTCTCCATCGACCTCAAATCCGGATACCATCACATCGACATACACCACTCATGCTGGAAATTCCTCGGCTTTGAATTTGAGGGGAGCACGTACTCTTTCCGCTCATTGCCCTTCGGCCTCGCGACAGCACCATTTGTCTTCACACAACTCATCAAACAACTAGTCAGGCGCTGGCGCGAGCAAGGCATCCGAGTTGTACCCTATGTGGACGACATCCTGTTTTTATGCACGTCCAAGGCACATGCACAAGCAACGTGTCAGATGATAATCTCGGACCTCAAGATGGCGGGCCTGGTGATCAACGCGAAAAAGTCGCAGCTGTCACCGTCACAACACCTGCGATTCTTGGGCGTCGAGCTGGATACCAGCTCCGAACAATTCTCCATTGGCACCGATCGACAAGCATCACTTCATGCACACATTCTCAATCTCCTGGGTGCAAGCAAAGTACGTCGACAGGTTCCAGTCCGCCACCTGGCTAGAATCACTGGCACGCTCGCGTCAATGGCGGTCGCGCTAGGTGCCACGGCGCGCGCATTCAGCCAAGCCACGTTACAAGCGATCAACGACGCGCCATCCTGGGGAAGCAGTGTGAGCATTTCCCCACCTGTGGCCGAGGAGCTGCAATTCTGGCTCGAGGAGTTCGACAGATTCAACGAAGCACCATTCCATGTCCGGAATAGTTACGACGACGTAATCCACGTGGACGCCAGTTCCCACAGTTGGGGTGCCACTCTACTCACCTTCCCTGGCGAACTCGAAGAAGCCAGTGCAGCCATGCTAGAACCATTGCACGCAACGTCCAGCACCCAGCGGGAAATCGAAGGTGTCCTCTGGGCTCTCCGAACGTACGCGAACAAGGTCCAACGGAAACACGTGCTCGTGAGGGTGGACAACCAAGGGGTCTTCTTCATCCTTCGCAATGGCGGTTCCCGCACCCCCGACCTGACCAACGCTTGCAAAGACATCATTCGGACCTGCATGGAGCTTGGCACTCGACTAATTGTCGAATGGATCCCGAGCGAGCTTAACTCCCATGCCGACGAGCTGTCGAAACTGATCGACCATGATGATTACTCACTGAAGCAACCATGGTTCCGAATCCTTGATCGCCGCTGGGGACCCCACTCAATCGATCTCTGCGCGAACCATCGCAACTCGCATCTGCCGCGATTCTGCTCAAAGATCCCCTACCGCAGACTCAGTGCAGAGGCTACTGCGGTCGATGCATTCTCATGCTCATGGACAGCCGAGAATGGCTTCGCGTTCCCACCACCCCAGCTGATCCCAACAGTCATCCACCACGCACAACGCACCCACGTGTCACTCACCCTAATTGCCCCACACTGGACGGGGGCAAACTGGTGACCACTCTTACAACCCTCCCCACCAAACTGGGCCCCGCACATCAGAGGGCACATTCCCCTGATGCACAATAGCCAATGCCTAGCAATAGGAACGCACCGCACTGCCTTCTTAGGCACACGACTGCCTCACAGCATAATCATTTCACTACGAGTGGTCTTCAACTAACCCGCCCATACGCCTGTGCGCAGACGTGTTGCCGAAGCTACAAGTCCAGCTTCTAAAGATGCTCTCACAGTCTCGGGCCGATTCAACAGTCCGAACATACGAGCCATACTGGGTCAAGTTTCGAGCCTTTTGTGTGTTAAAGTCACAATAGGCTCCAATGTGCCTAAAACGAAAGATAGAGTGCACAGCCGGATTTCTGCACAGCGGCTTCAAACGTTCATAGCGTTCTGGTCACAACTTGAAATGACCTGATTTAACTTGGATCTGGAGCGTCTGAACGTCGCCTACAATAGGCAATTTAGATCGCACAATTTCACCTAGTATTGACGACACAGTGTCGGTTTGAACGAACGGCACTATGGCAGCCACTAAATTCTTAGAACACAAAATAGGAAGAGATATGAAGAGTTACGAGTTGGGAATGACTCCCAGCTCCTACAAACCCCAAGAGCCGAGGTACAGTGATGTGGAACAGTGCCACACTGTCCCCAACCACGAAGGGTCTCGAAACTACCCTTCACTAGGGCCTACACCAAGTGAAATGTTACACTACACAAAGTAATGTAACTATCTTCAATATCTTGAGGTGTACCCTTTTGGCGAGCTTCGAAATCACTTGAGGCTTGACACCAAGGCTCGGGCTCTTCATCACAAACTCATCCTTGAGTTCTTGATGAGTCTGCTGCACACACCTGCGACACACCGAACGTTCGACACAGGACAAAATAGAGACCGCGCACGACAAAAAATAAAAACCGCGCGCGAGACACAAACGACCGCGTAACACGCGTCTAGCGATAACTCGCTATTGACTCGACACACACACTCGACATCATGACTCAACATTCACACACAATTATAAGCATGAAATATATATTATCCCATGCCCTCATACCATTCCATACACACACACATGCACGCACACGGACAACAAGCCGAGTGCAAACCGTAGGGTTGCACCAACATTGTGCAAAGGTGAACCTCCCATTCCTCCCCACAGCGGACATGACCCTCGCGCTATACCTGGTGTATGCCATCCAACACAGAGCCACCTTGTCCATGGTACAACTCACATGCTCAGCCGTGAGCTTTGCACACCGCATGACCGGGAGCATATGCCCAACGCTTGGACCATTCACCACTCAAGTACGCGATTTCGCGAAAAGACACTGCCCTCGCCCCATGCGAGTGAAGGAGCCTGTCTCGCTGATGTGACGGGGTGAGTGTGGATCACCAAAAGCGAGCAGACGTGGTGATCCGCGACAAGGAGTCCAACGAGACCTACGTGACTGATGTGACGGTCACGGACCCCGTCCTGCAGCGGCGCGATAAGAGAGCGGTAAAGGCACCAGGATGGGCGGCAGAGGATGCGGCACGAGTGAAGCGGGGCGTGTACGAGGGACGCCCAGGGTTTGTCGGGGTGTTTGGCCTGGCGGTGGAGACTTACGGGGCCCTTGCTAGGGACACCCAACGGTTCTTCCGCCTCCTGGGCACCCAGGCGGCTAAGAGGAAGCACAGACAGGGGAGGCTAACCGCGGTAGCCTCCAGACTCACGGCGCATTACCGGCAGCGTTGGTCGGTGATGCTCCAGCGCTGCCAGGCAAATGCCCTGATGGCTAAGTCCAACAGGGCACTTGAGGCGGCGCACCCCCAGGCAGCCGCGGACCCGTGGGGACCAAGCCCCGGGGACCTTTGGCAGGTCCTCGAGGATGACCTGGCCCAGCTAATCGACTTGGGTGAGTAGAGGGCCAGGTAGCCCCATATGGGACCGCCCAACCGAGGAGGGCGCGTCTCGGCTGGGCAGGATAGGGGAAGGAGGGAGGTGACCTGCAGGGGGACAGGCAGGCCAGCAATGAGGTGGCAATAGGGACAGGTGTGGCTACTAGGCAATTAAGCGTGGCGAGCCGGCCCGACATAGGCTCTTCATGGGACTATGCAGTTTCTTGACAGTGCATGTCTAGGCCAACTGCTTGCTAGGATTGCCATTGCTTGCTTGTACCCTATACATACATCAATGCAGGACTGCTTGAGAGAGAGAGAGAGAAGAGGAGTAATAGTGGTAGGAGCTGTAGCTGGACTTGATGGCTGCTCTCACCCGCCACCCCCACATCCCCCCCATCCCCTCCCCCCCCCACTACAGAGGCAGCGGAAGGGAGGGCGGGGGGGTGGGGCGGCGGTAGCTGCTGCTGGCGCTGGTGGAGGCGCAAGCAGTAGCGCAGGCGCTTGCGCTTGCGCTTGTCGCTGGTGTCCGCGCGGGCGCTGGCGCTCGCGCTTGCGCTTGTCGCTGGCTTCCGCGCGGGCGTTGGCGCTTGCGCTCCGCGCTGGCGCAGGCGCTCGTCGACAGCGTCCGCGCTGGCGCTGCTGGATCGCGGGGCGACGGGGGGCGCGGGGCGGGGGGCCGCGGACGACGGGAGACGGGGCGCCGCTGCGACGGGAAGTGGAGCGCCGCGGAGGCGGAACGTGGGGCGCCGCGGCGACGGGAACCAGGGGCGCTTTGGTGACGGGAATCGGGTGCCGCGGCGACGGGAATCAGGTGCCGCGGCGACGGAAATCGGGGTGCCTCGGCGCCCGGAAAAGGAGCAGTGGGATGGGACGGGCAGGGCGCGACGCGACGGGACGGGCAGGGCGCGACGCGACGGGACGGGCAGGGCGCGATGCGACGGGCAGGAAGGTGGGATTTCGCCAACGAGATTGCGACGAGGCGAGCGTAGCACGACGGGCCAGCAAGGCGCTCACCATGGGAAACGAAAGAAGACTGAAAACCGAGGAACGAGTGGCTCTGATAAGGACGTACTTAGATACTAGAGTTTAGCTAGGGCCTAGGCGTAGGAGCCTAGGCCACAAGAATAGCGAGAGAGTTGTCACAAGGATCGGGAGAGTGGAGGGGGTTCACTATAGCACACAAGGTACATATAGCAAACTAACAAAGAAGGTGCACCACCAACAGTTCATAATAATGACTACAGTAACTACAG